CACACACACACACACACACACCTCTCCCCCCCATTACGTTTACTATAAATGCTTGTTTTGGAGACACTATCCACCCCCTTTCAGATGACGTAATCATAAGGACATATCTTATTCTAATGTTTTTACTTATTCATACATGATGCCTATGGTTCAAGCTAAATATTGAATATTGTAAACAGTGCGAGCTTGAATATCTGGACACTATGTTTTTGAAAGATTAAAAAATGGGGGTGTCCTTAAAATACAACCCCCGTCTAAACATATATCAGGCAAATCCAAATCTTTGAAAGTTGATTATGACGGGAAGTCATCCAATACTATACTGAACATATTTTATATGATATTATCTGAGGGCATACCATTATCCAAGAGGTACCAAATGTCAGATAGTTTTTCATAAAGAAATATTATACTCCAATGTGGTTTGATGACTAATATCTCGTTAACCACATTACCCACATACGTGGAATTTTGAATATAGCTTTGCTGATGATTCCTTCAAAATAAAATGGAAGCTTTTCAAACATAGGACATCGAGAATATAGTTAGACTGAATACTTTTTTTATATAAGCATATGATCGTCCTCCTAGTAAAACAACGTATTTGGTTAACAAAACCTCGAGCATGTAATGATAGATTACCGATTGAAACCGGCAGATGGCCTAATATAAACATAAATTTGAAAAATAGAATAGGTACAATTTGTAACCACCATATTGATATATGTGACGAGTTTCATATTATCTTATCATGTGCAGCTCTTGATGTATAAGAAAGGTGAGGTGAGGTGAAATGGGGTTTAACGTCGTACTTAAGAATATATCGCTGATATGAGGACGTGCATACCTGTATGTGTGGCTGGTTGTACTAGCCCAAACTTGAGCTGGTTTTATAGTGCTAGCTCACTGAGATTATGATATCATGCCGCAGTTAAACATCAGCGCGCCACTCACATTAAACTGACTCCGAGCCGACCAGTCCTTGTTGTACCCATTAATATTGGTGTGATGCGGCCGGGGATCGAACCCGCGACCTTCCGCGCTCCGTACAAGCAAACGCCCTGGCCCGCTAGCCCGGACCTAGTAAAAATCCAGTCAGGCCAGTAAATCTCAACAGTCACTGGCCCGTCTGGCTAGTGAATTTTCACCAAAAAAATTTGATTTTTGTAAATACATGTATATCACTCTCTCCGACTTGTTAAGTTATAATACACTTTTAAATCATGCAATATTATGGCCTGATAAAAATGTTCATAATATTAGCTGCTTAATGATGAAACCCGTGTCTACATTACAGTTTCGGGCCAGTGAATACTTTTGTGGGCTAGTAACTTTCAGGCATAGCTAGCCCGTCTGGCTTGAAAAATTTGGAACTATTTCGCACACTGGGTGTGATGGTGATTTTTATGGAGTAGTATGTACAATGTGAATGCCCGCCCACCAACCCACCCCGCCTAAAATTTATGTTTTTTATGTACAAAATTGATAGAACATCTCTCCCCACCCCAATCATCATCACACACACGCACGCACGCACGCACGCACACACACACACACACACACACACACAGAGGTGTGTTAAACCAGAGACCATATAATATTATTAAACAGCTAAAGTTTGATTGTAATAAAAACCAATGGAAATATGTTTTCCTATTTGCTGCGGGACAAAGCTATAAATAGCTTTGGTTTTCCCGTTTTCATATTTCCCGTTCATAAAAGCGAGCATGTAGATGGTGTAGTTACCAAATCTCACAAAATACCTTTATATATCAGGGAGAGAAAGACAATCGATATGATAGGGCCAAATTGAAGACGGAGCGGGAGCTTGTTTTGGTGTAGATCTACGAAGTCACTGCAAGTGAAAGTGAAAGTAGGATACGGAAGTGGGTGTAACCCGCTCGGTTCAAGTCGCCGTCCACCATGTCGCAACACTTTGAAGGCTTGCAACGTATGCCGTGACTTCTTGCGTCGTGAGTAGGTTCAGTAATGTGTATGTAATTAGCTGGTAATGTGACTATGTCTACAGTGTTTTTCAAATCTGTGTGCCGAAGATTGGGCATCTATAGACAAACGCCCGAGGTGAAGCAGATACAGGCACGTTAGTGAGTTATATCAATGTCAGACAGCCCCACTGGACTCAATTTTGTGTCCGTCCGATTGTACACCTGTCGTCATATTATATCGACCTATTTTAAACCACAAAGAGTATAAAGCTGAAACTTTGAATACAGATTACAGTGTCTCATAATATACTCATATTAAACGCTGTATATGTTCACACAATTTCAAAATGGCTGCAATTTGAGCTCTGTTCGTCCTTGTCAGAAGGTCATTTGTGCTTCACAAATGTTTTCTCGAGAACTACACAAAGGGAGCGGAAGCTCATCATAACATCCCAGTCTCATTGGTGACACGGCAAGACAGACAAACTCAAAACTCTCATTTATGGCCATCATCAGTATGATTATTCAGCCACATTTTGTTATACACCGACCTTGAGAAGTCAAGGGTATATATACTAGGCACATAAAGAAACTGTGCATACAAAAATTTAAAATCTAAATTTATCAAACCTGTGTAGACACATAAGGATTTAAACTCAGAGATTAGTGATATGTATCCAACATGCATGCATGTGCCATGTTCCGTGATGTCAGTGGTTTCGTCCTTGAGACGTGCAAGACTTTGTTGCACGTGCAGTCTGGGAAAGAGAAACATAGCAAATGAATGCCACACAATACTGCCACTTTGGAAAGCTCAACCCCTGCCCTTGCGATCGTTCCAAAAATTAAACGGCTATTGAAACGCATAGCATGCCAAGGCTCACGTCTGCACAACGTCATGAGGCCATTGGGATGGTCCGTGGGGGAATGTCTCAACGACAAGTGGCTGCACATTCCCACTGCCACCGGAACACCATTTAGGTAATGACGGAGGTGCAATGCAAAGTTCAGTTGTCAATTGTAACTCAGCCATAGTTGGGAGTTCTGGGTTTTAGTGAGTCCTGCTTACTTGAACACATGTTCCAATAATATGAAGTACAGTCTTGACCATGTTTCTAACTTTTCTGAAACTAAACTTCCCAATGATGTTCCAATGGACAAATAAGCTGAAACTGAACCAGCTTGGAGCGGCCATTTTGAAAGATGTTTGTGGTCATTGCACCATTACTTAAAATGAAATGGAATCTGGTTTTAACGAAGTTAACAGTTGCACTGTTACCGTTGCATTCATAAGTTAGGGTTTTCTACTATTTAATATAGGCAAGCATGTTTCTTATTTCACAAAAGATACAGCCACTAATGAATTGTGACACTTCAGAAAGCTAAACACTTGATCTGTTTGTTTGTTTTTGTTGTTTGTTTTTTTTGTTTTTTTCATGCCACACAGCAATATTCCAGCTATATGGTGGCAGTCTCTAAATAATCCAGTGATCAACATCATGAGCATCAATCTATGAAAAGTTGCAGTTTCGTGCAATCCAAAATGGATACAAGGAACATTAAAAAAAGAAAATTCTTGGTTTGATGTGGTATGAACCATCTTCCAGGTAGTTAATTTGAACTGCTGCTGGGAATAATTCTGGGTGGCTGCATGGTTACCTGACTTTGACTTACATCATAGACACCAGACATATGATGGAATTTAACTCGGCCATTATAATTCTTTCATCATCAAATATATACAAACTATGAGTCCAGTCAGGTTGTTTGTAAAAGATATATGAGGTCATTTAATAATAGCTACAGAGCCCTGGAACGATGTTTTCAGACCGGCTTACTTATTGTCACAGCATGTTTAGATTCCACATCATTTTGACAGACAGAGCACGTTGAAGTGAAGAGGTGAACTTGAGATGGCCAGTAGAGACAAGGACAATGGACACCATCTGGTCAAGGCCACTTCCAGTGAGTCATCTGAAAGTCACATGGCCACTTCTGGTGAGCATTCAGAATCTGATGTTGACATGATGGTACCCGCAGGTTTGACATGGCCAGTTCAGACGAGGAACATGAAGGTCACTTGGTACCCGCATTTTGCTGGTTCAGCAGTTACGAGGAGATTCTAGAGAGCCAAGCAAATCTCAATAAGTACAGGTGTCACTGTTGTCCTCCATTTTGTCATCTGAGGTGACATCTTAGGTTGAAATGAAATACACCAAGGGGGCCTGTTCTTCTTCTTTTTTCAAATTCCATATCAAATGTTACATTGGTGAATTTTCGCTCAGCTTGTCATTGATGTATTTATTCCTCATCATGAGAAAAGTGAAAGTCTTCTGCAGGGCTCCAGATAAGGGCCGTATCGGCGTATGTACGGATAAAACATATGCACAATACGGTAGGAAATCATTTAGAAAACGTAGCAGATACGCCTCACAGCAATGGTGTACGGTCTTTGTATCATTTACAGATGTCTTTATCTGAAAAAGTATTATTGTATTGTTTATTGACCCATTTACACAAGAGCAGCAATGTTGTGGTGCATATATGAAACGAAACACAAGATCACTGATACTGCATTAAATTCCATTCAGTACTTGAAATGTACTCTTAAGGTTTTCTTAAGGAGTACGTACTCCTGATGTTGAAAAATTATCTGGAGCCCTGCTTCTGAATGATAGAAACCCTTCTTTTGCACAGCAAACCCGTGAAGGTCCGGGTATGAATCTTCAGTAGTCCATGCTTGTTATAAGAGGCGACGACCAGGATCGGGTGGTCAGGCTCGCTGGTTTGGTTTACACATGTTATCGGTTCCCTATTGTGCAGATTGATGCTCATGCTGTTGATCACTGGATTGTCTGGTCCTGACTCAATTATTTACAGACCGCCACCATATAGCTGGAATATTGCAGAGTGCGGCGTAAAACTGAACTCACTCACTTTCACACTGCAATAATAGGAAATAATGTTATTCCATGTGGAAAGGAAACAACTGATCAATTATGGTTTTGGTAACCATGGTTACTGATGATTCTTCCTCCTGGTTGATGTTGACAGGTGAACATCGTTCAGGGAACGCCCAAGTTGCCAACACTCTCAACTTCATCACTGGAGGGGCAGGACAAGGAACACTGGGGAGAGGTGAGTGTCGATGGAGGAAGGGTCAGTAAGTGACCAGATCTTGTTCAAGACTGTTACCATTCTCAGACAGAAGATCATCATCCCTGGTCCGACCTGTCACCCTTATGGATTGAAATGGGTGATAGAAGAAAATGTTGTATACAAACTCCTGATGTATTGACAGCAGTATTTTGCAAAACTAATGAATCTCGAATGATGTAAAAAACAACTGTTACACACCTTGCATCAATTGTGGTATGCTTGCACACACAATAGAAATAAGTGAATAGTTTGTCGTCTTATGTTTACACCGAAGTCTTTGCTGGGATGTTAAATATTTTTTTCTTACACAGATACCCTTGATTTACGCATAGATGAAGCGAGGAAGATTTTTGCTCCAACTGAAGCCTACAGAAAAGTGAAACAGAAATTGAAGGAATTTGGTCATGTGACTATCTGTGGTGCTTCAGGGGAGGGCAAGACAACAATGGCTCTGGTGCTGGGTTCAAGGTATAGACAAAAGGGGTACGAGGTCGTGTTTGTGGACAGCCTTAAGAAGTTTGACTTTGACCGCTGTCTTAGTACCTACTCAAGAGTATTTTTCATTGTTGACGATTTGTTTGGTACAGTTGGAGTATCTGCTAATACTTCACATGTTAAAAACTTTCTGAACAATCTTCTCCCCCATTTAGAACAAAAGCAGAGAGCAGAAGAGAAACGGTCAGAATTGAGTGAAAACAGTGATGCTGGTGAAAAATTCAGAAACAAAGTGCAAAGTTTAACAGAATCTCAAACAAAGGACATTCATGTTGTCTTCACATCAAAATCTTACAATTTCCATGATGGACTTGCAAAACTGCAGTATGAGGGTTTCAAATTGTTCAAGGGTCAAACAGTAGTGGACTTAACAAAACAAGAAAAATACAGGCTTTCTGACAAAGAGAAGAAATCAATATATGAACGACATAAACATGCTTTTGGTGACTACTCTGTGCAACATATTCCAGATTACAATGAGCTGGAAATCTGTTCCAACATCTTTGGATTTCCTCTCATTTGTAAACTTTGTTTTGAATTTTCCTCTTTCTTTAAAAATGCAAAATCATTTGTCAAGGAACCACTCTTTTATCTTAGGTTAGAACTAAATCAGTTACTTGAAGATAGAAATGATAGATCGGCCATATTGGTTCTGATGCTGCTGTGTGAAGACAAATTGAACCTGACCAGGTTAGACAGTGGAGATGAAGACAAGGATATGGACAGGATGGTCAAAACTGTTCAAGACCTGATGCCAAATACTACACGTTCAGGCATGTACAAAGCCGCTAAAAGTTTTAGAGGTACATTCTTCACTAGAGGAGACACTACTGGCTTTGCCCACTCTTCAATTTATGATGCTTGTGCCTGTTCCTTGTTCAATATCAGTCCAGTCTTTGTTTTGAAGAACTGTAGTGATGACTTTCTGTTTGAAAGAGTACAAGGTGAAAAGGTTGAAGAAACTAAAATTGATGATCATCTCCACCTGATATATGTCTCAGATAATTATGATGACCTACTAACCACAAGGTTTGCACATTCTATTAAACAAGGAAAGTTTTCTCAATCAGTGACCCATCCAGTTCTCAAACGAGACACAACAGCGTTCAAGCTGCTGAACAAACTTCAGTGTGATGGGACAAAGCACCCCCATCCGCATAATCAAACTGATTCTACAGAAGAACTTTGGTTTCACAGAAGAGAGAAAGGAAAATGTTTTCTGTACTGGGCAGTTCTTGGACATAATTCACATCTAGTTACAGAAATAGAACACACAATTGGAGGAAAGTTCTCTCAAGAGGCGATCAGTCAAGCTATAGGAGGGTGTGCACAAAGCAACAATGTAACAGTATTGAAATGGCTCTTCACTCGCTCCGAAAAACATGATCATCAATTGACACTCAACAGACTCTTGTTGCAAGCTGCTGAAAATGGCAGCTCCGATATTCTAGTGTATCTGCTCCAGGAAGGTGCTGATGTTAACACTAGAGACAAGAAGTTACAAAACATCTTCCATCTGGTTTGTAAGACAGGAATGGAAAAATCCTTGAAAACCTTGTTAATTAGGAAACCTGGAGATAATGTTATAAACTCTGTTAATGTGAATGGCCAAACCCCTGTCATGGTTGCAGCACTTTCAGGATCACAACAATGTTTTGAATTACTACAGAAAGTATCAAACTTGAATCTGAAAGATAGATATGGTACTACAATTATTCATTTTGCCTGTCAAGGTGGCAACAAGACTATCGTGAAACATCTCCTGTCTCCCTCTAACATCAACAGTAGAGGGAGACATGGCTGGACTCCAGCAATGGTGGCAGCTGTCAGTGGACATCAAAGTGTGTTTGACCTCCTTGTGTCCAAGCAAGCTGACCTGACACTGGTGGATACATCTGGTGATAGTTTACTTCATCTTGCCTGTCAGGGTGGGAACACTGCTATAGTACAACACCTCCTGTCTCCCTCTAACATCAACAGTAGAGGGAGACATGGCTGGACACCAGCAATGAAGGCAGCTGTCAGTGGACATCAAAGTGTGTTTGACCTCCTTGTGTCCAAGCAAGCTGACCTGACACTGGTGGATACATCTGGTGATAGTTTACTTCATCTTGCCTGTCAGGGTGGGAACACTGCTATAGTACATCACCTCCTGTCTCCCTCTAACATCAACAGTAGAGGAGAACATGGATGGACAGCAGCAATGAAGGCAGCTGTCAGTGGACATCAAAGTGTGTTTGACCTCCTTGTGTCCAAGCAAGCTGACCTGACACTGCTGGATACATATGGTGATAGTTTACTTCATCTTGCCTGTCAGGGTGGGAACACTGCTATAGTACAACACCTCCTGTCTCCCTCTAACATCAACAGTAGAGGGAGACATGGCTGGACACCAGCAATGGTGGCAGCTGTCAATGGACATCAAAGTGTGTTTGACCTCCTTGTGTCCAAGCAAGCTGACCTGACACTGCTGGATACATCTGGTGATAGTTTACTTCATCTTGCCTGTCAGGGTGGGAACACTGCTATAGTACAACACCTCCTGTCTCCCTCTAACATCAACAGTAGAGGAGATGCATGGCTGGACACCAGCAATGAAGGCAGCTGTCAGTGGACATCAAAGTGTGTTTGACCTCCTTGTGTCCAAGCAAGCTGACCTGACACTGGTGGATACATCTGGTGATAGTTTACTTCATCTTGCCTGTGGTGGTGGGAACACTGCTATAGTACATCACCTCCTGTCTCCCTCTAACATCAACAGTAGAGGGAGACATGGATTGACACCAGCAATGAAGGCAGCTGTCAGTGGACATCAAAGTGTGTTTGACCTCCTTGTGTCCAAGCAAGCTGACCTGACACTGCTGGATACATCTGGTGATAGTTTACTTCATCTTGCCTGTCAGGGTGGGAACACTGCTATAGTACATCACCTCCTGTCTCCCTCTAACATCAACAGTAGAGGGAGACATGGATTGACAGCAGTCATGAAGGCAGCTGTCCATGGACATCAAAGTGTGTTTGACCTCCTTGTGTCCAACCAAGCTGACCTGACACTGCTGGATACATATGGTGATAGTTTACTTCATCTTGCCTGTCAGGGTGGGAACACTGCTATAGTACAACACTTCCTGTCTCCCTCTAACATCAACAGTAGAGGGAGACATGGCTGGACTCCGTCAATGAATGCAGCTGTCAGTGGACATCAAAGTGTGTTTGACCTCCTTGTGTCCAAGCAAGCTGACCTGACACTGGTGTCTACATCTGGTGATAGTTTACTTCATCTTGCCTGTCAGGGTGGGAACACTGCTATAGTACAACACCTCCTGTCTCCCTCTAACATCAACAGTAGAGGGATGCATGGATTGACAGCAGTGATGAAGGCAGCTGTCAATGGACATCAAAGTGTGTTTGACCTCCTTGTGTCCAAGCAAGCTGACCTGACACTGGTGGTCTACATCTGGTGATAGTTTACTTCATCTTGCCTGTCAGGGTGGGAACACTGCTATAGTACAATACCTCCTGTCACCCTCTAACATCAACAGTAGAGGGATGCATGGATTGACAGCAGTGATGAAGGCAGCTGTCAGTGGACATCAAAGTGTGTTTGACCTCCTTGTGTCCAACCAAGCTGACCTGACACTGCTGGATACATCTGGTGATAGTTTACTTCATCTTGCCTGTGAGGGTGGGAACACTGCTATAGTACAACACCTCCTGTCTCCCTCTAACATCAACAGTAGAGGAGAACATGGCTGGACTCCAGCAATGGTAGCAGCTGTCAATGGACATCAAAGTGTGTTTGACCTCCTTGTGTCCAAGGCAAGCTGACCTGACACTGCTGGATACATCTGGTGATAGTTTACTTCATCTTGCCTGTCAGGGTGGGAACACTGCTATAGTACAACACCTCCTGTCTCCCTCTAACATCAACAGTAGAGGGAGACATGGCTGGACTCCAGCAATGGTGGCAGCTGTCAGTGGACATCAAAGTGTGTTTGACCTCCTTGTGTCCAAGCAAGCTGACCTGACACTGCTGGATACATCTGGTGATAGTTTACTTCATCTTGCCTGTCAGGGTGGGAACACTGCTATAGTACATCACCTCCTGTCTCCCTCTAACATCAACAGTAGAGGGAGACATGGATTGACAGCAGTCATGAAGGCAGCTGTCAGTGGACATCAAAGTGTGTTTGACCTCCTTGTGTCCAAGCAAGCTGACCTGACACTGCTGGATACATCTGGTGATAGTTTACTTCATCTTGCCTGTCAGGGTGGGAACACTGCTATAGTACATCACCTCCTGTCTCCCTCTAACATCAACAGTAGAGGGAGACATGGCTGGACAGCAGCAATGAAGGCAGCTGTCAGTGGACATCAAAGTGTGTTTGACCTCCTTGTGTCCAAGCAAGCTGACCTGACACTGCTGGATACATCTGGTGATAGTTTACTTCATCTTGCCTGTCAGGGTGGGAACACTGCTATAGTACAACACCTCATGTCTCCCTCTAACATCAACAGTAGAGGGAGACTTGGATACACGCCTGTATTGAAGGCTGCCTTCAGCGGACATAAAGGTGTGGTTGACCTCCTAATACAGCACAAAGCTGACCTGACACTTCTGACAGAGAGTAATGAGGACATCAGACGTGTAGCTGAGATAGGAGGGCATCCTTCATTGACCAGTTATCTACAAACTGTTCACCAACCTCACTAACTACATCTATCAAACAACGCCACAGGACTGTAGTGGTGGAATTCAGGCTAGAAGAGTCACAGTGATCTTCTATTTAACCAGTTATTTAATATCAATACAGGTCAAATGTAGGTCATTTGATATTTAAGTGGGGTTGGGACCTGGAATTTGTTGAAATACCAGATAATATATGAGAACAAAATCAGATGTTACATATGATTGCAATGAAACTTATTTTTTTGCAGGACAAGTTCACCTTTCTTTTAGAATGTTTATTCTTCCTGATTTAACTGCTGCCACTAATGGCACAAGGCCTCCATTTTGTCTGTAACCTATGGCTGTTTGATTTCCGGTTTGCTCAAATTATGTTTCTTGCTTTGTCAGCACGATTCCTGTACTCATGGGTTTCCCCAAAGTAGTAACATGTGCGACCTGCCTCACTTCAGCCTTTCCTTCCACATCTAGCTGACACACCACGACATAACTCAATTACTGATAAAAGCCATGTGATCTAGCCATGAGATCAAACCATATGCCTTCATTGTCCCCCCTCCGTAACGCGAAACGGGGGACTATGTATTCAGCGGCCTCTGTATGTACGTAGGTCACACTTTTCAAACTCTTCACGCAATATCTCATGAACTGTTGTACCCAATTTCTTCAAGTTTAGGGGATAACGCAGACAACTGTAGATATTGGTGACCTTGACCTTATTTTCAAGGTCACACTTTTCAAACTCTTGTTAACACGATATCCAATGAACTGTTGTACGCAATGCCTTCAAATCTGGTGACAGCCTACCTTTGGGGATTACGCAGACACCAGTCGATGTTGGTGACCTTAACCTTATTTTCAAGGTCACACTTTTTTAAACTCTTGTTAACGCAATACCTCATGAACTATTGTACCCAATGTTTTCAAATTTGGTGACAGCCTACATTTGGGGATTACACAGAAACCAGTCGATTTTGGTGACCTTGGCCTTATTTTCAAGGTCACCACGCCACTTTGACCACTTTTCTTACTCTTGTTAACGCAATATCTCATTAATTCATAAACCCAACCAATGTCCTCAATTATGTTGACAGCCTACATTGGGTGATTATGCAGACACCAGTCATTTCAGGCATCTTTTATATGACAAAAATAAAAAAAGTAGTAAATATGTTATGAATATTTCGTTCTTCTTTAGCGACGGGGGACATTACCATTTTAGTGGCAAACACTTGTGAATTTTGATTTGTTATCCACAATCACCAGAATTGAATATTCTTAAATGTTTTAAAAGGGAGTGTTTTTCTCAAGTTTGATTTAATTTATCAAAAGTGACATGCAAAATGGAATGCATCCAAGCCAGGCAGGGTCGTGGTCAACACTCTTATGTATTAATTCATTGATGTTGTCACTGGTTATTGTCGTGATATATTTGTACTGTCAATACCCAATATTTGTGTACCAGATAAGAGCAATAACCCATTCATTCACTCACTTACTCCCTCACTCACTCGTTCATGATGTAACTGAATTATTGATCAAAGCTGTTTCATCTACACACTTACGATTAATTTGCATATTCAGTGAATCGAACTTTACCCTTCATATATTTGATATGTTATCCGCTATCAATAATTCAATCAATGTTTTAATAAGGAGTGATTTTTATTAATTTTGATATGATTTATCAAAGTGATATGAGGTTGCAAGCCAGGCAATATAACAGTCTACACTCTTGTGTATTTAATTCAACATTGATGTGGTCACTGGTCATCGGGATCAATTTGCAGAACACATTTGTCCACATGGTCAAGAGACAAAGAACACATTTTGTTATTGTTTCCTGAATGTAATGACTGAATCAGCTGCTGCCATGTTATTGTATTCATTACCTAACCCGGGTTTTGTGTAGTATGTACCATATTTGTCTCATAGTGGATTCATTGCTATTTGTGTCAAAACACAACTTGTGGATTAACTTGCGCAGTTCAGTATGGATTGTTGATATTGTACCTCCAATGACTGATCACCATGATGAGACCATACAGCCTATGTTCCAGACTTTTGATACCGATTTTAAGGATCAAGACATTTTATAGATCAAGATAGCCACATGCAGTGATACATGACATTTATTTAACCCTAGACCTGTAAGTTGAAATAACAAATGTTGTAATATTCAATTACCATGTGAAAGCTGTTCTTAACATTGTGAGAAACATGACCCACATGCGTTCTTCTTGGACAAGCCGAACACCCACCCGTGCCCATTGGAATGATGTCATACTGGTGGATGAACATCAGATCTACTTCACACATGGAACTCTATTTGTGTTGAATTCCATCAGTAATAAGCATTGCTGATGCACTAGAAGCTGCTACTTTAGAGATATATTAACCTGTTTTATACAATACATTTGATAATGAAGATGATGATGATTTATTGATAACACGGTCAGTGTAATTATTACCAGCTGTTCACCTTATATTTGTAAATATATATTTCTGAATATAGTGTAATAATTGCAAATGGGATTTTGGTCTTGAATTTATCATATTAAAGATTTTTCTCAGCTGGGATGATGATGATGATCTGTAGTCCCAAAATGGACCCACAAAAAGAAGATGTCATGGAGAGTTCAATTATGGAGATTAAGTGTATGCGGTGTCTACCAAATGCCTGAACTTGCATGTAACCTTGCAGCCAAATACACATTGCCTTTTAAGAAAGTGGTCAAATGTAACAGATTTGGGATTACACTTTCTCAGTAAAGTACAGATTCTAGAACTTTTGTTGGGTTGAGTAACATCTAGGATTCAAACCAACACTCAGTCAGGCTCCTAATCACCAGCACACAAAGTCAGCTGCCTAACCCCTCGGTATGAAACTCCCTAAAATTTCAGCCAGACCACAAAGCTGGTTAGATGAAAACCTTGCCAGCTCTGACCAAAACTTACCTGCCCCCAAAATATCTTCATATATACATATCTAAATTTTAACCCGACCATAGGACAGGTGAATTTGATAATCTGGCAGTCCGTGTTGAAAATAACCCGTCCCAGGCAGACAGGTATTTCAAACGCTACTAACCCATCTGGGGTAGCTTCAGTGGGTGTGTGGGTTAGATGGCTGACATTTTGTGCTTTGTTCAAAGGATAAGTTCGTTTTCTTTTAGAACAAAAGCACATGATCTCAATGCACAACAATATGTTTAATAGTAAATATACTAGAAATTGTTTAAATATCAACAAGTCAGTCAATCACCCGTCAAGATCCGAGTTAGAATTGGTCTTCACCAACACATGCTCGTCGTAAAAGGCAACTACGGAGTAGTCAGACTCACTGACTTGATTGACACGTCATCGTATCCCAATTGCGTAGATCGATGCTCATGATGTTGATCCCTGGATTGTCTGGTCCAGACTCAGAGACCGCCTATAGCTGGAATAATGCTGAGTGTCTCACGAACTGCATCATTTGCCCTTCTGCCCAGGCCTGTCTGCAATGCTGTAGCTCTCTGTATGTAGCAAGTCTAGATTTTCTGAGGTTCAGGTTCTGAATCTCTCACCTCCTTTTCAGTTGAGACAAAATTATTTGTTTCTATTTAAATAGTATATACAAGTATTCAGAGACGAAGGTGAATGTTGTGTGTCCCTCGTGCAGATGTCCTACAATGTATGGCACATGGCTCTCCATTTATCCATCTCTTGCATGTTTTGAATGAGTTCAGTTTTATGCCACTATAAGCAATATTCCCGCAATATCATGGCGTGGGACATCAGAAATGGGCTTCACACATTATACCCATTTGGGGAATCGCACCCGGGTCTTCAGCGTGATGCTTACACCACTAGGCTACCACCCCGCATGTTTCGAGAACATGACGACTGGGTGAATTCTGAGAGCCCAAAACACGGAGATACGGTTCTCCTGTTTTTAAGCCTTTCTCACCACAGGTGAATTGCAAAAAAATGTAGAATTCAACATTGTAACTTGCAAAGGCGTGTGCTCAAGAACTCCCAACAAGGGTACCATTGTGTGAATCCCATTCCAGGTGCTATTGTTTAAATATTGTGAAAGCAGGTAAAACCTATATTTGCTCACTGGTTATACTAATCCAGACTTATACTTGTTCTATAGTGCTAGCCTAACCAGATATCATGCATCTTGTTGAAGCAAAACATGGATACTTCTTTCACACGCAGTATACTAATTGTGCTTTGGAGGTCGCCTTCGCCGGTTGGCATGTCGGCAGTTTTCAAGATGACCAGCTTGTTATATCCCAACGCCAGGCATCAGGCAGGGTAACAAGAAGTACCATCTTCCAGGAGGCTTTGAGCCTCGGACCTTCCACTCCCTGGCCAGGCACAAGGCAACATACTGTCACAATGAGTGGGTTCAGTTTTAGGCTGCTTTTAGCAGTATGCCAGCAATATCATGGCGGGGAACGCCAGAAATAGGCTTCACACAATGTACCTATTTGGGGAATTGAACCCAGGTCTTCAGTGTGATGAGCTGACACTTTAACCACTAGGATGTCCCACAGTGACAAGGGTAACAATGTAACACATTATGTTTTAAATATTTTACACTTTAAGAATATTTTGAAATATGTAGGTGTTTGAACAAAATATAAACATACTGGTTCACAAAATGACAAACATAAGCAGCCAGTTATCTGAAACTACCTCCAATGCAAATTCTCTGTGAATCTGAAAAGACTTAATTCAAGCTACCCATCAAGTAACTCAGTGAAAAGACAAACAGCCTGTTGGAATTGTCGTCATATTTATTTGCCCCGGATGAACATAATTATTCATGGCCAGATTTACTTACAAATATTTACATATGTACATACAAGGTATTTAAATACACACTGGTGCATCACACACCTGACATACACAACAAAACATTCTCTCTGTATCATACATATGAGCATCATCAAAAACATCGACATTTGATTTTATAAAAACAGGAATAAAAATGTGCAACTCCATTGTTTCCGTGCTAACATGCAGTGATACGTCACTCCAGATCCCCTCCAGACATTCCTATTCCTATTCCTATTCAATGATACAAGTCGAAAATATCCATTCCAGATTGTCAGTGTTCAAAAAGACTTACTGTGCAGCTTGTGAACTGGACATTTGGACGATTCCAGTCAGTAGTTGTCATGATTAACAGGGTTCTATTATGAATGCACCTGGAACTATCACTACAGTACCAGTTAACAGCAAGAGGAGTGTAAAATCATTCTGTTTCAGATTTAAGGGAATCTGGCCTAACATAGTGTAATAGGGAACAGTGGGTGTATTGAGGTTGGAATATGGTGTTACCTCTTTTGGTTTAAAATGGACCAAACACCAGACAGAAACAAATTATGTTACCTTTCCAAAAATCCAATGAAATGGTTCAAATCTTTGCAACTGTGAGATTCTTGTGTTTCTATCGTTGGCAATAACTCCCAAAGGTTTTCGATTTTGATATTTAATTATATTTTTATTTATTTGGGAAAAGATGCAAAATAAAAATAAATAAATGAA